GCCCCGGCTCAAAATCCAATGGGGACAAAAACACTGCAATCAGAAACTGACACTCTTTGTCAGCTAACCTCCAAATGAGGAACAAAATCTGTTTCCTATGGAAAAACTCTAAAACGAGCGTACACCACAAGTTAACCTTAGCGAATTGTAACCGAGCTGAGGAGATGCGTAACGGCAGCTTCAATAGGAGGCTCGTGCACGAGGCGCGCATGCTGTACGTGCACACTCCTTGACGAAAATAACAGCTGAGACAGTCCCTTGTGTGTGTGTGTGTGTGTGTGTGTGTGTGTGTGTGTGTGTGTGTGTGTGTGTGTGTGTGTGTGTGTGTGTGTGTGTGTGTGGCCCAGAGGACAGAGGACAGGAGAACGCGCAGCTAATTAAATAGTTGCTGAGGTAGTCAAACAACTATGTTTATGTATTTAGCAGACAATTTTGTCCAAAGCGACTTACAAGTGATAATTGGCATTTTGCCCTTGAGGCTAACAACAACAGTAACAACAACACATTGACATCAGTCATGGAGAGGAGGGAACAAGGAGTGGACAGTAGAGAGGGGGGACGGGTGCAGGCAAGGTGCTAGTTAAGAAGATGCTCTCTGAAGAGCAGGGTCTTCAGGAGTTTCTTGAAAATAGAAAAGGAAGCCGCAGTTCTGGTAGTGTTAGGAAGGTCATTCCACATTTGTGGAACAATGCATGAGAAGAGTCTGGATTGTCCTGAGCGTGGTGTAGGCACTGCTAGCCGACAATCCTGTGATGACCGGAGCGGCCGGGCCGAGACGTAAGCCTTTGCAAGAGGATTCAGGTAGATGGGAGCCGTACCGTTTCGGACTTTGTATGCTAGTGTTAGCAATTTGAATTTGATGCGTGCTGCTAGCGGTAGCCAGTGGAGCTCAATGAACAGAGGGGTGACGTGTGCTCTTTTAGGCTGATTGAAGACCAGATGCGCCGCTGCATTCTGGACCATTTGAAGAGGTCTCACAGTACAGCCTGGAAGATCAGTTAGAAGGGCATTGCAGTAATCGAGGCGGGAGATGACAGTAGATTGCACCAGGAGCTGGGTGGCATGTTGTGTTAGGTATGGTCTGATCTTTCGTATGTTATACAGCGCAAAGCGGCATGAAGGAGCAACAGAGGCAACATGATCTTTAAACGTCAGGTGTTCATCAATCACAACACCCAGATTTCCAACTGTCTTTGAAGGAGCCAGAGATAGGAGGTCATTCTGGATTGAGATATTGTGCTGTATGGATGGTTTTGCTGGGATGACAAGCAGTTCAGTTACACAGCGGCGGAGCCCTGGGGTGGATGAGATTTGTCCTGGGTATCTCAAGGCTATGGATGTTGTAGGGCTGTCATGGTTGACACGTCTCTGCAACATGGCAGACCGGGGTGGTGGTCCCCATCTTTAAGAAGGGTGACCTGAGGGTGTGTTCCAACTATAGGGGGATCACACTCCTCAGCCTTTACCAGAGGAGCGTGAGTTTGGTCCGCATAGCTGGTAGTAAGTCGGACCTGTTCTCGGTGAGGGTTGGACTCCGCCAGGGCTGCCCTTTGTCACCGGTTCTGTTCATTACCTTTATGGACAGAATTTCTAGGTGCAGGTGTGGAGTGTGTCGAGTTTGGTGGCAGGAGAATCTCGTCTCTGCTTTTTGCGGATGATGTGGTCCTCCTAGCTTCATCCAGCTCTGACCTTCAGCTCTTGCTGGCTAGGTTCGCGGCCGAGTGTGAAGCGGCTGGGATGAGGATCAGCACCTCCAAATCTGAGACCATGGTTCTCGACCGGGAAAGGGTGGCTTGCCAACTCCGGGTCGGGGGAGAGGTCCTACCTCAAGTGGAGGAGTTTAAGTATCTTGGGGTCTTGTTCACGAGTGAGGGTAGGAGGGATCGGGAGATCAACAGGCGGATTGGTTCAGCGTCTGCAGTGATGCGAACACTGAGCCGATCTGTCGAGGTGAAGAGGGAGCTGAGCCAGACAGCCAGGCTCTCGATTTACCGGTCGATCTACGTCCCAATCCTCACCTATGGTCATGAGCTTTGGGTAATGACCGAAAGAACGAGATCACGGATACAAGCGGCTGAAATGAGTTTCCTCCGTAGGGTGGCCGGGCTCAGCCTTAGAGATAGGGTGAGGAGCTCGGACATTCGGGAGGGACTCGGAGTAGAACCGCTGCTCCTCCGGATCGAAAGGAGCCAGCTGAGGTGGTTTGGGCATCTGGTATGGATGCCTCCTGGACACCTCCCCGGGGAGGTGTTTTGGGCATGTCCTGCCAGCAGGAGGCCCCCGGGTGGACCCAGGACACGTTGGAGAGGTTACATCTCCAGTCTGGTCCGGGAACGCCTTGGGGACCTGCCGGAGGAGCTGGTGGAGAAGGCCGGGGAGAGGACGGTGTGGAGCTCCCTAGTTGGGATGCTGCCCCCGTGACCCGGACCCGGATAAGCGGAGGAAGACGACGACGACCTTTCTCTTCAGCACAGCTGACAAAGGTTTATGATGGGTCAGTCCTCCTGCAAGCTCAGATCATTCCCTTCCCTTGCTTGAAAAATTGTTCCAAAATGAAAGTTGAACCCACATCTTTTTTACCTGTGAATTCAATGCCGTTCGGCGAGTCTCGAATAAAAATTTGGGCATCTTACTAGGGCTGCACAATATATCGAAAAATTATCGTCATTGCGATAACAGGACGTGCGATAGGCCCATCGCAAAGCACGTCAAAAACGGCGATAAATGTTTGGTTCAAACATTTCCATCAGTGTCATACATCAACTTTTTGTAAACCAGCTGATTTTTACGTGGAAGTATTATTTGACCAATCAAATGTAGCCCTTCTGATATGCGGCCAATCAGATAGGTCCGTTCACGTAATATGCCCGCCCCCTACGAGCTGCCCCGCGCTGCTCGGCTGTCTCCATCCGGAGGTTGAGATGTTTGCCAGCCTTACATAACCGCTCTTGTTTTCGGCACCACCACTTCCTCTGCGCGCCAACACCGGAGCGACGGTGCTGCCGAGCGGAGCTTCCCGGGCTGCGCTTACTTTGGGCCACCGTGCCGCCGCCTGGTTCACCTGCTCCAGCAGACTGTATCCCCAAAATCCCACTATCTCCGCTCCGCCCTCGCTTTCCGCTGCCGCTCGCTTCCCTTGTTCGTCATGCTGGCTCAGATTAACGAACGCACTTTGTGCTGAGGTTTCTGACTCCGGTTAGCTTCCAGCTAAAAGGCTACAGCAGCACTCTCCTCCCAGTCCCACCCTGAGCTGCTAAAGAGGGCCTGGAAAAGTTCCCCCACACATCAAAGTGATTTTTCATTTATGAGCTTTTATAACCTTGTTAATCAGGATAGTTGATTTTCTGCTGCACATTAACTGTCATTCAGAAGCTCTGCTAGCCGGTTATCTTAAGAGGAGCTAGTTCAATTTGTTAGCTTGTTACCAGAATCATAGTTGCAGTTTCATCATCTGAGCTGCTTTTTAAGATCTAGGTAAACTTGTTCAATTTGGGGTTAAAAACAAACATTTTCACATATTTTCCATGTAGTTTTTTTGCCAGTTCCTCTTCTGAAAGGTAGACAATTGTTTTTCTCTTTCCCTCAGACAATCTTAATATTCTCTTAGTTTGGCCCAGCACAGATCACTTCCCAATTGCAGCAACAGCCTTATATCATAACCACATAAGTGGAGAAAATGCTCAGTAGCAATGAGATAATTTGCTGTTGCATTTAAGTGATGTTAACTATTATTTAACATCTAAACTTATTTTCTGATTTTTTTTATTTATTCAGAAAACCCTGGTAAGGGATGTTTTTCTGTATTTGGAGCATCAGAAAAAGTTTCATGGTGGTGGTGATATTTTAAAGTCACTGAGAAACTGCATGCATGCAGTTTGTTGATTTGCAGCTAATACAGTAGCAGGTGCAGCTGCATATTTTTGCAATAAAAATGTTATGTTGTAATGGAATTCATGCATTAGTTTTTGTTTGCTTTGAACCCAGAGCAGACGTCACACGCCAGACGACATCAACACTGCATACTTTAGTATTTGTTCATTTATCCTGAGTATTATCGATATCGCAATATTAAGCACTTATATCGAATATCGTAGGTTTTCCTAATATCGTGTAGCCCTACATCTTACTGTAAAAAATATATCATTAATGTAAAAAAGAAACTCTAAAACAACTATGTCACATCCAGAATCGAACCCAGGTCTTCTGCACGAAAGCCCGCAGTCTTATTAGACGAGCTTAAACCACCAGTGACGTCTTCTGTATCTGTAACATTTATATTCTTGATGACAGCTGAAACAACGTTCAAAGAACGGTTCGGAGGGCTATGCCTGAGCGTGAACGCGCATGAAGCAGCCTGCTCGACCAGAGCAGCTCTCTTTTTCTGTGATTTTACAGAAAAATAGGCAATCACAGTAAAAATGCCAGGGCTCATTCTACAGGACCAGGGAATTGCAGGAGAATGTATGAAGAAGAAATGTATTATTTCTATGCATGTTTGGCTGTCAAACTTCCATAATGCCCCTTTAACTATTCTGAAAGTAGAAAATCTGACAACCCTCAGCTGGCTGAGAAAGAAATCTGTTTCGACGTAACCTTCCATCCAACATGACTGAGACAAATTAGACTTTTTTGGGATTATTTCAATGTAGAATTCTTATACATTGTACCTTTAAATGGAGTGATTACCATGCTTCTGCAGAACTCAGCATGGTGGTGAGGTGATTAAACCATGTGATTCTGTTGTGTTGGAGCAGAAAACTTGTAAAACATGCAGGATGGCACCCCTGAAGTATTTTTTTGGTAACTACTCCATTTTACCCACAGATGTACCTGCCCTTTACCTGGATTAGTATGCTCACCATGACCAAAGCAGATCATTAAAACAAAATCTAAATAAGTTTTGACTGATTGGTCAACCTCCAACATGTGCATAACTGCTTGTCTTTAGTTGCACTTCAGTATTAAATTTGCTACTGAAAGGACAATAAACAGTATTCAAATCCAGGGTTTAGCTTCTCTTTGATGCTACAAAACAAAACAAAAATGATTATCAGAAGTGTTTAACTGATGTAGGAAACACCTACGAATGAAAGTACTGAAGTCTGACGTGCAGAATTAAATTGTGACAGAATGTAATGACTGTCTGTAGGTGTTTTATACCAAATATTCACACAGCCACAGACAATTAAACCCCCATTCTAATAAAAGATCGGTCTTCTCTAAGATTTTCGGGTCCTGCCCAACAGTAGCTTAAATAACACAAACTGGTACACTTGTCACATGTTGCTCACTTCCTCCGGGCACTCCCCGGTCTCCTGACCTGCCACAGGTGATTGTGGATGGTCAGAGCGTCCACGCTAACGGAGACACTCTTAGCGGGAATGACTGTGAACTGCTTGCGGTCTGAGTTGTACTTGTAAAGCTTGTCAATCATCTTCCGACCGATGGTGCGTGGGCCTGTGCCTGTGAACTTGACGATCTCCTCGGTGTCCGGTGAGTAAGAGTAAATGGCGCGGAATTGGCAGCCACCGTCTCGGAAGAGGATGATCAGGTGGTTGGATTCACACTTTTCCAACTCCTGGAACACAGAAACAACAGTCTTTTCTGAAGGATTACGACAAAACACCAAGTTCCCTAAAACGCATATCATATTCATAAGTGACATATTATTTCAAGCATCCTCATACCTCAAGGACAACATTCTTCTGGACTTCATTGACTTTTCCAGCAAGGCAGCAGTGGGCGATGGCGTTAATGATTATTGGCTTGTTGGATTTAGAGCTCGGCTCCTTGAAGAGTTTAGGACCTTTGAATAAACAAAACACGAAGAAAATAAAAATGCACGCATCCTTGTATGTTTTTGTTTTAAAGAATAAATTAAAATTCAACATTTCTTTTCACCATTATACTCAGTTGACGTGATGGACGAGGCTATTGAGCCGTTCTCCCAGTCCCGCTCCATGTTCCTGCTGGACGTTCTGCTCAGCACAGGAAATGAGTCCATAGAGCACACAGATGCAGCCCTTATGCACATGTGTGTAAAAGGTTGGTCTGATAAATGTGAGAACATGTGGGATTATTTGAACTCAATGTTTATGTAAAACAGTTCTCACCTGTTTGACTCCGCCCCACCAGATATGACGCTGTCTGCGTCAGTCACCAAAGAGAGCGTTGATCCTCGATGACTGAAACTCATATCAGCTAAAAATAAGGACAGAATTAAAGACCTGAGGTTAATTTTCATTAAATGTAGTGATTTACATTTCTGAGTGTACAATATTGACTCTTAAACCACATTACTTACTTTTAAAGAGGACATATTACTTTTTTCTAAAGTTATAATAGTTCTATGGTTGATCCAAAACATGTTTATGATGTTCTTTGCACAAAATCTCTCTCACGTAAAGAGATTTCAGCTCTAGTCTGTTCTTAACATTTTCAGTACTTTCCAGAATGAGCCATTAAAAAGCTGGAGCTGGCCACGTCCACCCATCTCCCGTTCAGGCTGCTATAAGCTGAGAAGTTCCAATATCTAGGAGGGGCTTGGAGAAGAGCAGCTGCTCCTCCAGCAGCACATGAGTGGTGGTTTTCTGTTAATTTTCCAATTTGTGACTTCAAAAATGGGGACTTTTGGAAATGGCTCGTTTTAGGCACATAATTCCTGAAACCAAACACTGACAGAAAACAAATGAATGGATTTGTTTCACTTTTGGAGGTGAGTTTTGCATTATATGTCCCCTTTAAACATTGGCTGCTTAAAGAAAATCAAACTCCAAAATCCTTTTTTTTTATTTTATATTTTTGCAAAAATAATTAATAACAATTTGGTTTGGGGGATGTTTTTTAAATCAGCTGTGCGTGCTTGGTATTACAGCATGCAGAGCAGGCAGGAACCTTCACCTCCCCTGCAGCCTGCTGCTGAACTCTGGGCTTTGATTAACAAGGACACCTTCAAAGAATCGCCTGCACAACACACACACACACACACACACACACAGACACACACACACACACAGAATGACAGCAGGTGCACAAAACAAAAAGATGAGCTAATGAGTTCCTACAGTCGACAGAAATCATTGAAGAGTGAAGAACAATGGGCACTTGACTATAAAAACTCACGTGTGGTGGATCCTTTGGGGAGGCTGCTGGAGTCTTCCCGGTGCAGTGACTTGGGTCTGTTCCTGCGGGGTCTAGTCCTTGTGCGAGGTTTGATGAGACCCTGTTCCTCCATGAGGGCTTGCTGCTTCCTCTGCAGGTATTCTTGTTTAATTAGCTCTCGGCGTGCCTTCTCTTCCTCCTTACGAACTCGCTCCTCCTCTGCTTTTCGTCTTGAACAAACAAGCGTAAGATTTAGAACAGGGGTGTCAAACTCAAATTCACACTGGGTCGAAATGAAAATCTGGGATGAAGTCGCGGGCCAAACTTAATATTTTTTTAAAAAGTGACGGCAAATTTGCACATTTTCTTTATCAACATATATCCAATTTTGAACCTTTTAATGTGGAAACAAACTTATTTTTGCATCAACACTGAATGTGTAGACATAAGAGGCAGGCCGGTAAAGTTAACAAAATAAAGCATTTCAAAATAAAATTCCGCAATAGTCAAATGTGTTCGTAAACAGACACTGCAGAAAAACCACACAAACACGCACACACATACACACACATCGAACGTGTGTGCGTGTGTGACCACGTGAAGGGGGGTGTGGTTTTTGGTGTCTTTTCACCGGAGCAAACAGGACAGAGAGGCAGAAAGTCTGAGGCAAGCAGTTAGGATGGATGACTTTAAATTAATTATGGAAGTTGAGAAACACAAGGAGCTGTACGACCCCTGAAAAACATGCTTATTTATGTACCCATGTCGGAAGAAACTGCTAGCATACAGCTGCAGAATCGGAGCGGGTTCCAAGAGATTCAACTGGCAGAAACAACTCATACCATAGGTTCACACACACACACACACACACACACACACACACACACACACACACACACACACACGCACACGCACACGCGTACAAACACTCAAACGTAGAGGAAAAGAGCTGAGAAAAGGCAGAGAGGAAGTGGAGGACATCAAGTGTTTAAAAGAAAAACTACAGCTGAGCCGAGGCGCGCCTCGACTGGGGCGCGTCTGATCTGAACTGAGGAGCGGCGAGCAGCGGCCGAATTTCGTGAGCGATTCGCTTCTCGGCGCTTCCGTGGCCGGTGTGTCCCCGGCGTCATGGTGTTGAGCTGAGGAGGAGACTCCTGTTCTTTTGTTCATCTTCATCATAATAATGACAACATTAGGAGACAACAGGTGCTCACATAGGTTTGTGCTGCTGAACATGGAGAGCGTCTGAGCAGCTTGACCACGTTGTTGTGTCGGGGAGGAAAAACAACAACTACAGCAGCCAGAGTCATGCTGATTTGAGCGTGTCGCTGCTCGCTTGAGTTATATCAGCTCGGTCTGGAAGTTAGTTGGAAAACTTTCTATTTCAGTCGTGAACACATTACTGAGCGGTTAAAATCTCAGTTTCTGGGCTTCAACGTCAGCAAATAGCTGAGTAAACCCAGCGCTAAGTGAGAGGAGTGTATAGTTCGTCTGAGACAATGGAGCTGCAGACACCAGCAGCAGACGTTGGAAAAAACACAAAGGAGGGGGCGCATCGGCTCTGCGCTAACACCACAAAGCATCATGGGAATTGTAGTCTTTGCTGTAAAATCGGCCAGCGGGTCAGTTTTAATATATTTTTTATATTAATCTCACGGGCCACATAAAAATGCTCCGTGGGCCTTGTGTCTGACACGTGTAATTTAGAACATCTGCTTCCACACTCTTGTGCTCACACTCCTTAGAGGACTTTTTGTCCTTTTCTGTGTGTGAACTTACCGAGCCTCGTCACGCTTGAGCTCGCTCTCTACTTCCTGCTGCTGTTTGCGAAGTCTCGCCTCTTCAGCTTTGCGCTGCTGTTTGAGGAGGAAGGCGGCACGGCGTTTTGCCATTTCGTCCTCTGCCTTCTCATCATCCTGGAAGGTGAAAACATTATTTTCATGTCTCATATAACAATTTACAGACGAAGAGTTGCACAAACTTGAGTTTTACCTTGAAGAAGAAACCCAACACATTCTTCTGCTCGACATCTGCTGTGCTGTCTCTAACGTCTGTGCTGCCATCATCTACTGAACCTTTTAGCTCTGACAAGTCAACCTCAATCAGCTGACCCTTGAGCCGGGTACTCTCATCCCCACTGACTAGCTCTCTGCTTGAGTCAACCACGTTTATTTGCTCTTCTTCTACATCCTGCGATGAATATTCAGATATTTTGGAGATCACCGGTGGATCCTGTGACTTTGGCTTGCCTGAGCAAAGATCACCTCCCTCTCTGCTGCCTTCATGGACTCTGAAGGTGGCATTCCTATGGATGCTTCTCTCACTTTTGGAGCTCTCAGCAGGACTCCCTGTGTCCTGTTCTCCGTCGGTACATTCAGTTGACGAAGGCATGCAGTCTGAGAAGGAGATGGTGGACTGGATTGAAGCCGTTTTGCTCTTTTTCCGTTCTGCTGCTTTGCTGCGTTGGCTGGAGCTGAGCTTGGGAGGACGCCGAACAGGCAGAGAACTGCTGCCGCTGATATCAACAAAGTGAACTGCAAATGACCTGGAATCTGAGGTAGAGGATGTTGTTGTTTGTGCGGTGTCAGGGGCTGTGCTTTGGCCTGACTGTTCAGGCTCAGGGGGTGAGACCACATTCTGCTTCATCAACAGGTCTTGCTGGAAGGAGAGCTGCATCATCTGTTGCTGAATAGAACTAATAGCTTGATTGAGCAGATCGATAGAACGAGAACACTCGTTTACGTCAGGTTCTGAGCTATTATCCTGGGACAAGGTGCTCCCCTTGTTGTCTCTGCTGACCAGTCGTCCCTCTGTTCGACCTTTAAGAGCATCGAGACAAGAATCGTCCTTGCAGGAATGGATCTTAATTTTCCTCCTGTTGGCAGCTGACAGTCCAGAGGACTCCTGGGAATGCTTCAGGGGTAAAGGAAGCGTGTCACTCTTCCCATCGCCCTTCTTAACAATGTTCAAGAATGCAGCTTTCCCCAGCTTCAGTCTCTGCCTGGCTGACAGGGCCTCCATCTTCTTCTTCTGGTACTCTATTGCACGCCTCTGCTCTTCCAGCTGCATGTGAAGTTGAAGCAGCTCTGAAGGCACAACTGAAGGACTAACCATAATATTCTTCTCCAAAACCACGCTAGTAGATTCTTTTCCTAACCATTGAGGGGCAGTCTCCGAGCCATCTGGCGTGGTCTTTTGGGAGCTGCTGGTACTCGAGTATCCCTCCCGGAGACCAAGTTTAAGAAGCTTTCTCTCTGCAAAGCTGGTCATTTTGACCCCGATACTACCCGAGGCGCTACAGCTGCTCGCCCACGATACAGTGCTTGGGCATGGGCTTGAGCGCCCACTGGCATCTTCCTTATCCTCCCTCTCAGTCACCTTCGAGTCCTCTCTAAGTTTGGCTGACTCGCCTTCTCCGTCTCCAAATTCAGGCATGTATTCCCCCTGTAAACAATGCCCTCTTCCTGTCCTGACCACCTCTTTAGTCAAATCTGTCTGATCATCCTCCTCCTCCTCTTCCTCGAGGTCTGCGATGTCCGAGTCAGAGTCGTGTTCCGGTTCCAGCCCAGTGAAGAATGCATTGCAGTGTTCTTGTTCACCTGATGAATGAAGGAAAAAGCCTGGAGACTGAGAGCTAAGCACTGATTCTATTACGGGTTTGGGTGTGGACACACTTCGGTTTGACTCAGCCACAAGGGGTTTCCTCTGTATGTTGCATGCGATAACTTTCTTAGCAGCTGCTGCTCCTCTAAAGTGACCCTCACCACTTTCCTCCTGCTTGTTCACAGTGATGCTCTTCTCTTTGGCTCGTTTTTGGACAGCAGGCATCAAAGGCTCCAGATAATAGCTGTCTGCATGGTGGTCCAAAGCAAAGGGGCTTCTTTCATGAATACGAGAAGTACTAAAACCCCTGGAGGGTGATGTTGCACTCTGTATTTCCAGCTCATCCTGCTCCATGTCGCTGCCAATTCTATGTCTAGAAAATGCAGAGGGGTGGAAAACAGAAACGAGTTCCTCCTCCTCTATTTCCTCCTCTTCATCCTCTATGTGCATGTGACTGAGGAGGCTTTGGCCACTCAGTCTGTGCTGAGGCAGTGCTGACCCCAGCATGTGTTTGGGAGTAATGCTCAGGATGTTAGAAGCTAAGCTGTCTTTGCTAATGGACCGAGCCAGGCTGATACTGTCAACTTCATCCTCCTTTGCAAAGTGCAGAGTGTAGGGCACGGGCTGGGACAAGGGTCTGAAAGGGAGTAAGAGGACAGGCAAAAAAGTTGCATGAGCTAAAATAATAATTGATGAAACTATTAAGTATTTATTATGTCCTCATCAGCTGCTGTTACCATGAACGTACCTTGCCCTCCTCTCTGGCCATGCCAGTATGGAGTCCTGATGTTTTCCTTGTGATCGTGCTACGGAGCTTGGCCTGTTTCTCACCTCTGTGCAAAGACAACATCAGACACATTGGTATAACGTGTTTCTAAAAGACTAAATAACTTTTGATATAATTCACACTTTAAAAAGGGACCTGGTATCTTAAACAGCATTGACTTTTTTCCTGTTGACCGGAGGCAGCTCTGGGAGTCTAATGGGTTGGGGTCTCTGACCTGCTTTCCTATGTTAATGTGCTCTTCTTCTATATTTATTTCATGCTGGTGTTTCAAAGTCAAGTCCCATTAATTGATCACACACTGGTGAAATTAATCTCCCATTTTTCCCCATCCCCGTGGGGAGCGGTGAGCTGCAGCTGTGGCTGCGCACAGGAACTATTGGGTGGTTTAACCCCCCATCCCAACTCATTAGAGCTGAGTGTCAAGCAGGGAGGAGTTGGGTCCCATTGTTAAAGTACTTGGTATGACCCAACCGGGATTTGAACCCTGACCTCCCAGTCTCAGGGCAGACAATGTACCACTAGGCCACTGAGAATCATCTTTGTATATTTTGGGTTTTCTTGTTTCCCTTTATTAAAATTGTGTTCCTTATTTTTAACATTGAGAAACAATATGTTCTGAGAAAAGCTGGTACGACACTTCATAAGCTTAGACATGCCATCTTAAATTTGCATAACCCAACTTTGGCAATATATGAATGTTGGTGGCTGCTAACCGCAGAACAAAGCTAGCATGAGCTACTGCTAATGTCCTTGTTGGACTAGAGGAAAACACCAGATAAGAATTTTGCAGTACACATTTAACAATCCAGGATGTACTGAGAACATCCAGACTTTGGATGAATGCCAGATAGATCCATAGCTTGCCTATCGAATTCCTGATACTGAACATGGCTGTAAACAGTTACCTGCTTCAGGCAGCACTGTAGAGCCAGAGGGGTAAACCAGCCAATCAGCATTCAGCTCGTTTAATATGCCCTGGCCGAGTGGGCGGAGCAAACCAGTCTTTCCATTGTAGAGCTTTACCACGGGTTGTATTTGGCAATTAATCGTGGCTCCTGGGTCATTTTGAGCCCCTAAAAGGATTAAGTCATATAGAGCAGGGGTTCCCAATCCTGGTCCTGGAGGGCCGGTATCCAGTAGGCTTTGTGGTTTTTCTGCCCCAACAGACTTGATTCAGTGGTTGAAACACCTGTGCAGCAGCTCATCAGGCTCTGCAGAAGCCTGTTAATTAGCTGCTGATTGAAATCAGGTGTGTTGAAACAGAGTTCAAACTAAAACATGCAGGATACCGGCCCTCCAGGACCAGGATTGGGGACCCCTGATATAGAGGCCCAAAGATCAGTTTCCATCCATTCATTTTCATCCGCAGTTGGGTCACGGAGCCAGCAGCCCAAGCAGAAAGGCCCAGACTTCTCTCTCCCCAGCTACTTGGACTAGCTCCTCTGGGAGGAATCCCAAGGTGTTCCCTGGTCAAACGAGGAACATAGTCCCTGCAGCATACCCTGGGTCTTCCCTTGGGCCTCCTCCCAGTTGGACGTGCCTGGAAGACCTCACCAGGGAGTCATCTAGGAGGCATCCTGACTAGATGCTCCTCTTGATGTGGAGGAGCAGCGGATCTACTTCAAGCCGCTCCTGGATGACCGAGCTTCTCACCCTATCTCTAAGGAATAGCCCAGACAACCAGGGGAAAACACCCATTTCGTCCGCTTGTATCTGTGATCTCGTTCTTTGGATCACTACCCAAAGCTTGTGACCATAGGTGAGGGTAGGAACGTAGGTCAATCGGTAAATCGAGAGGTTTCCCTTCTGGCTCAGCTCTTTTTTTTTCACCATGACAGACCAGTACAACGCCCGCAGACGCAGCACAAATCCACCTATGGATCTCACGCTCAATCTTTCCTTCACTCGTGAAGAAGATCAGTTTCCAAATTTAAAAAATAAAAGTAGGGCCCCTTTAATAAATGGAAGTATTTGCTTAGAAAGGTACTATGTTGAAATGGCCAAATTAAGTCACCATTTTCTGCAAAGTGGCAGTTCGGAGGAAGAGGTTCACAATGACAAAACTCAGGTTCATTAAAGAGCAAGTCACCCCCAAATAAACTTTTTATGCTGATTAACTATATAAACGAGTGTCTAACTGTGCTGTAGAAATGTGTAGTCAATAATTTGGCACTTCAGCGCATCTTAGTTAAAATTTAAATATTCTGCCTAAAACTGTTAGTGCTGCGCTGTTGCCAGGGAAAAATTCTGCACTGTATTTGAATTTAAATTAGCCACCGCTAATAGCGGTATGCTATGATGTTAGCTGATACATTAAGATGTCACAATGTCGTTGTGAGCCTGTGTGTGTGTATTTGTTCGCGGCTCCGCTCTCTCGGTCTGCCAAGCAACAGCATTTGTTGCAATTTTCAAACATGAAGTGGGAGTGAAGTAAGTTTCTTTAATTATTTAGCTAAAGTTCTAAAGCAGAAGTAATTTGTCCACAAATGTCTTCCAATACTACACACTTAAGTTTGCTTTGTCCATTATTTCTACACTCAATACACAAATGTGATGGTTTGATCCTTATAATTTGAAACCGAGCAGATGAACTGATATTTAAAAAGTGCTACCTGAAGTAGCATCCTCAGCCAGCTTCTGTTGTCTGTGTCTCAGGGGCAGTAAAGAGTTAGATGAGGTGAAAGAGGATGGTTTAGTGCTGAGGAGAAAAAACAAACTAAAGGTTATTCATGTCTATTGTGTTCATCAGTAGGTAGTCTAAACAGCATTATTTTATTTATTTGACTGAATATTTTGAAATAATAAAAAATCTAACTCTTTAGTGCACAGGTATATGTTGCTATATTACTATTTAACTAAAAACCTTTAAGTTTCTTTAAAGTTTTACATATACAGAGAGAGACAGAGAGAGAGACAGAGAGAGAGAGAGAGAGAGAGAGAGAGAGAGAGAGAGAGAGAGAGAGAGAGAGAGAGAGAGAGAGAGAGAGAGAGAAAAATTTATTATCTCCAGTCATACTAGTTCAAAAATGGAAGCAGGTTTGAATCCTGCAAACTTCCAAAAGGCTTAAGTCAAAGTCTGTCTCTATGCATGGCCTCTTTCTAAAAGCAAAAGGTCTTACTGGATACCTGAGGTGAGGGCTTGTGGTTGTGGTCAAGATGTCAGCCGAGTTAGACGAAGAAAAGAAACCTCTTTTGGTGACGCTGGAAACGGGCGAGTATGATCGAGAGGTTTTGGGCTGCAGCATGAGCCTCACTACAAAAAATGTTTTAAAACAGCACATTAAAGTAGAACAATTGGAAGATTTTATTTTTAAATCAAGTAAGTAGAGAAAGTGTTTAACCATCTTTGACTTCCTGAAGATCTCTGGGCTGTACAAAGTCTGGTTTCATGTTCTCAAACCACCAGAAAAGCTCAGCAATGAAGACCATCACATTATTCTGCAGAGCACAACAAACAAGGTCAATGCAAAAAAAAATTAAAAAACATCAAAGTACCTTCAGATCGGGTTATTTTCTGTGAAATTCTAATAAAGTTTTACACACTAAATGTGTCCCTATTCCTGAAGATTCCCATCCGTACTGAAAAATTATTCAGTTCAATGAAATAAATATAAAACTACCAACAGGAGCCCTAGTTTGAAGAAAGGTCACAATACTTATAGAAGAATAAAGCCACCCAGGTATGTCAATTGGGCAATTATATATTTTTTTTTCTCGGCTAATATGAGCAAGCTAACACAGCTATAGAAACACATTTTCCAGAAATGACCTCAGAGTTTACCAAGACCTTAAAGGGATATTCCACCCCTATGTGAAATTTAGTCTGTGGCCATACTCCTCAGAGTTAGATAAATGGGAAAACCATTTTGTAACCAGCCTAGTCGTTTTACCAATCATGCAGTATTCTGTTTGATTCTGGAAGAGATGCACTACCTGGGCCACTTGTGTGGGTTTTAGGCATGCATCAGGCAGAGAAAACATCTAAGTAGATGCAGAAATGACTAAAACCGGGTTAAAAACGGTCCAACACATTATTAAAACTGGTCTGGTGAGTCCAGATGGACCCTGTTCCAAAGTGATGGGAGAATCAGGGTAAGAAGAGAGGCAGATGAAGTGATGCACCCATCATGCCTAGTGCCTACTGTACAAACCTGTGGGGGCAGTGCTATGATCTGGGGTTTCTGTAGTTGGTCAGGTCTAGGTTCATCAACAGGATGTGCTCCAAGAATGAGGTCAGCTGACTACCTAAATATACTGAATGATCAGGTTATTCCATCATTGGATGTTTTCTTCCCTGATGGCACGGGCATATTCCTAAATGACACTGAAACAGTTTTCCAAGTATAACATTTCAGTTTGCTCAGACTTTAAAGGGATATTCCACCCCTAATTGAAATTTAGTCAGTGGTCATACTCCCCAGGTAGTGTTCTGTTAGCATGAACACTGTAAGTGGGTTAGGGTTAAGGCTGTTAATGGTAACAGCTGGAATTTGGCGTGAAAAAGTCATGAAATTACTCAATAAATATCCTAATTTTCAATACTCACATCAGAAGTTAAAATATTAAGTAACATAAAGAAATTACAGTAGCCGATTTAGCCTTGGGACTACGATGCTGCTGTAAGCTGTCACTTACAATGGCCTGCTGCCCTGGGAATACCTAAAACAACACCTGTAGAGGAAATAAATCAGGAGTATGTTGTACCAGAGGACTACAGTTAAAAAATAGTATTTTTTTTATTTCATGAATTATTCCACACAAAATGCTAGCTGTTACCATTCACTTACATTGTTTATGCATTTTTTTTTACATTGCACTTTTGCATTTTGTCAGTTTTAATTAAATTCTTGTACTTTGGTGACATGAGTCACGTTTAAGGTGCTCTGTAAATAAAGACTGAGTTGACTTTAAGCTAAAGCAAACAGAATATTGCCATTTTAGACACTTGTCTACGTTTTAGGGTTAGGGTTAGTAATTTGACACATTGTGACTATGACATGAAGCACCTTCAGAACAGGTGGAGAGTACAGCAAGTCTTCAGGCTTCAGATGGAAACATCTGTTTAGATATTCATTAGAAAACTCCATCAGCAGTTGGATGTTGTAAATGCTTTCTGCTATAGAGAGGACCTCCTTCAGGCAAATATCTGCACAGATCAGAGCAACAACATTCAATATGATTAGATTACGTCTGAATAGTTTAACGGTCACTTAAATAGGAGACATCTGCATTTAGAGAACTGACCTTCTAGTCTAATAAGGTCCGGGCAGTAAAAGTGGATCAGAGCGAGCAAAGCTGCACCATCACACACATCCTTCAGCAGGTCTTCCAAAAGGGGGAAATGCTGCAGAGTGCGACCTGCTAGGTGATCCCTGCGGTAGCGCACCTGTATGACAAGAGGTGAGCAAGAGTTTATGCAACCATATCTAAATCAATAATCACAGAGACACAACATTCATCACTTTGTAAATCACTGTTTGCTTTGCTTCTGTGAACATATTTTAACACCTTCAGCTACCTAGTTTTGCATCTAATCAGTTTGACAGAAAAGCATGGCATATCTGATGTGAAGCAGTGGGAATGGGGAAGGCATGGCAGGTAGGATGGCAATATCCAGTTAGAATAAAAGGCTGATTAGAGGTGGTGGTGGGGAAAACGAGAGAGAGAAAAGAATTTGACTCAAAAAAATAAAAAAGGCCAATAATAAGAACTTTACCACACGAGAGATCTCCACACAATGGGCCAAAGCATACAATAAATCAGCCTGATGGAGGGGAAAATGAAATGATTGGGAGGAAGTTACAAATGAAATAAAACAAACTGATTGGACGTGGAGCAGTTAAAAAATCTGGCTCTGTTCATGATGTGTTATGATGGTGATGTGTTTGACGGGCCAAGCAGTGTGTGGATACTTTAGAGAGGGCAACTGAAAGCAGACAGAAGTGATTAAAAAACATAAAGTTGACCAAATAAACAGTAAAGCAGGCTTTATGCACCAGATGGTTCTTATTACACCACAAATTATCACCATGTGCCAGTCCTATTTTATTACATTTTCTCATTAATTCCTGTTGTACGTTTTGTTTTTTATCCTAGCTTAAAGTGTGCTGTTCAGTCTGAAACACACACAATGAAACACAACCTAAACAGACACACACTCATACAAGAGAAAGCAAGCATTAGCACTTACAGGTACAAGCTTCCAGTACCATTTGGAGGGAGACTAGCATCCATAGAGGCACAGAGGGGAGGAATTCAGGAGGAAGTGTTACAAACAGGAAGAGCAGGAGACAAGTTCAGACACAGCTACAGAGCATCAGATTATGTCACGTTAGGAAGGAAGGAATCTGATCTGGAAAGGATCGGACTTCAAAAAGGGAAGGCAATGCACGACAGTCCTTGTATGCTTTGAAAGATAACGACAGGAGCTGTAATTTATCCCTACTATACTTTTTAAAAATAAATGTATTCAGACTGAGGTGATTAAAATGGAGTCTGTAGCGTAAAGTCATCAAAGAAAGGAGAAGACTTTGAAATTTGACTGGCTTCAGTTCCCACCCCTGCTCCATCTCCCCTACAGGAAGGAGCTCGCACGCACGCACGCGCACACGCACACACACACACACACACAGCCTTATAGCACTAACAGAAGACTGTTGTGGCTGCATGTTTACAATAGAGCTCCGGGAGTTGACGTCACTTCTCCCGGCATGCAACAGTTCAAATTGAAACGGCGCCATATTGGCATGCAGAAGCCGGCAGCTGGACTATTTGTTATTGTCAGAAAACTCAATCAAACGGGAAATATGGTAGATTCCTGTTGTGCCCCAGGATGCAGAACAGACGCGGACGACATAAGGAATGAGCCATCTACAAGATTCCCCAAGATCCGGAGCGCCGCAAACGTTGGATCATTGTAATAAAACGCGCTAGTGACCGGGCGAAAATGAAGCTGTGGGATCCAGAGAGTAAAGGTTTTCGCTTATGCAGCGACCGCTTCATATCAGGTACTTAAACCAACGTTTCCTCAACTGTGTGTGGTATTTATTTTAAATGCTTTTATTATGATTCTTAGTGGGCTTCCTAAACTTATTTTGGCGTGGCTTTTTCTGTCTTATTACTCATAGCAGCAAGTAAACATCACGTAAAACGTTGCCTCGTGAGTTCTGCGTGCTGCCGTTTACGTGTTTTATGATGACAGCAATTAACCGGCTAAGCTGTATTTAATTTTTAAGCAATGGTTGATCAATTGTCAGATCACACATAAAAAGCACTTTGGATTGCTATTATCTGTGTCACCGAGACTACTTACGTGTAAATCTGTTATTTGTCCGTCCATCCATCCATTTTCATCCGCGTATCCGGAGTCGGGTTGCGGGGGCAGTAGCGTGACTTCCCTCTCCCCAGCCGCCGGAGCCAGCTCCTCCGGGTAAATCCCAAGGGGTTCCCCGGTCAGATCCGGTGTTGTGCCGGTAAGAAGTCCGCTCCGACAGCTTCTGGCGTCGGAGCGGGCAGTAGAGTCAAGAGTCCCAGACCTTCTCCCCAGCCCCTCCGGCCGGGGGAATCCCAAGGGGTTTCCCCGGCCAGGTCCGGTGTTGTGCCGGTAAGAAGTCCGCTCCGACAGCTTCTGGCATTTTTAAAAAGTATCCCAGGGGCACGGTAAGGGTCGGAGAAGTTTAGTCTATTTAATTTCTGACTATATTAAACGATTTCTTCTGTTTTAAAGTGTGAAGTAAACTCCAACGAAGTAAAATCCAAGCGGATCCCGTTCATGTTCATGGTTACATCCGTGTTTGTTTACCTTTTTTGCATGCCAAAATGGCGTCCACTAACTGAGAGTCACGTGGGGTCCGGAGCTCTATAAGCCCCTACTCAGACACACCTGATTCTAACTGCTGAATTATCTCCTCGGGTTTCACTGGGTTCTGTTAGAGCTGCGAAGCACTTGTTTCAATCAAATCTGGAGTGTTCAAGCAGGGAAACATCTAGAACTGCAGGAATCCAGCTGACATGATGCTAGCACACCTCTGCTAGTGCTGCAACAGGCTAAAACAATAGTCGATGTAGCGTAGGGTTGAACGCTACACTTAGCTCCAAATGATGAATCCCTTTATGTTCCCCTCATTTCTTCTATAGTAAGCTTGAAGTTTACAGACTGACAATAATTCAATACAGATTGAAATAGCATTCAAGCTAGATTGGTGTGTTAAGCTGACCGAGGTGTCTGCGTCATCCCACTGGGACATATTCTCATTGATTGGCAGCTGCCTCTTGTGGATGCACAACTCTGTAGGCTCATGTAAATGATTTGGTTTGCATTACAGGCCAAGGGATGGATTTAGGAATAATATAAATTGTGAAAGATTATCTACTTCATATCATAGAGAAGGATCAGATTTTTTAAGGTACTTTAAACAACGTAACACTGCATACCCCAGCTTTAAAGAGGACATATTTTACAAAACTCCCCTTTTGCATCCTTTTGTGCTGCTTTGTGGGTTTCTACTTCCTCCATCAACACCCATTCATTTTCTGTCAGTGTTCAGTTTTAAGAATTATGTGCCTAAAACAAGCTGTTTCAAAAAGTCCTCATTAGTCACATCATAAACAGAGAAATCAGAATAGAAACACCCCTCATGTGCTAGAGAGAGCTGCTGCTGGCGCAGGAGCAGCAGCTCTACTTTGAGCCCCTCCCAGATAGTGTAGCTTTTCAGTTTTTAGCAGCCTGAGCGGAGGGGTGGTGTGCACGTGACCAGCTCCAGTTTGTTTTCTTACAATGACAGAGCTCTGAAACGGCTCATTCTGGAAGATACTGAATACGTCACTGTCAAAAACTGCTGAGATTCCTTTATTGACGATGGATTTAGAACAAAAGACTTCATAAACTCTCTTTGTATTGACCAGTTTGTGATATGTACTACTTAGTAGAGACTCTAGAATATCTACTGGGTAGCAAAGGTGTGGAGACACTTTCGGGCATCAACATAAGGTGTGCACTAGAGCTGCTCGATTATGGCAAAAATAATAATCACGATTATGGTGACTGAAATTGAGATCACGATTATTTAGGACGATTTTTCTATTTATGATGATTTTATTTGTTTTTCTTCAGTCATAAAATTGCTCAGGGCACAATCAGGACAAAAAATAAATAAGAAACAAGATGATCACTAAAATAACTCCTGATTCCCAGTATAAAAAGACCAATATACTTACAGCTCATAGTTTATGACCCAAGGGCTATAGTCCTTGGTTTAACTCATTTAAGTCTAACCAGTACAGACCCAAATACCAATATCTTGCAAATACTGACAGCAAGAATTATACAGTGGCATTTATAACAAATAAACGCAGATAAATTGATGTTCACAAAATATTGCATAACATTTATTGAAGTCGTGTCAATGTGCTGTAGGAGAGTGCACTAGCACCGTGTCCTCAGAGAGATTCGTTGTTATTTATCAGCGTGAGGAACTTATTTCTACCTTATTTATAAACTATGTATGTACAAGTCATCCATCAGTTAATGTAATAATTGTCCCAGCCACAGCTGCACCCCCCACCCCCCAACCCGGTCTCACAGCAATCGGGGCAAGCTGCATGTGTGTTTAGCGTGCCTCACGCGCACATTTAGCCGTTTTTAGCGGCTCAGGAGCCCGCAGGTACGGTGTGTGTGTCACTCACTCTGGTTAATCCAACAGGGAGCCGGCTCCGAGAGCCGTTTCTTTAGCGACCGACACATCACTGCATCATTCCCTTTCCTATAATGTCCTGAAGAACGGTCCGGAGCGCAGGCGGAGTGTTTAGCTAACCTGCAGGAAACGTCGACGACAGTTATCCAGAAAGTAGCTAAGGGTTACCAGAGATGTTTCTGAGGTGTTCGCTAGGTACTTTAAAGCGAAAAGAAGGGGGTCTGAAAAGCTACTAGAAATAGCGTCAAAGTCGCTAAGTTGGCAACACTGTGGGAGGAGCGCTTCATTTGCAACTCGGGGCAGCACAAGTGTGAGGAGCAAATAATCTGCTTGTTTTGTTTTTTATAATCGTTCAAAACTCAGATCGTCATCGTGATTAACATTCGATTAATTGAGCAGCCCTAGTGTGCACAAATCTGTGATGACAAGTTGGAAGAGCTAACAGCCAAAGACAAAGAAAATATTCCTGGAGGAACACATTGTTCATCACAGAATGAAGAAACAAAGAACGTGTGAGGTAGAAAAACAGGGTAGTGTTTTACCTTGTGATGGCTGGGTGACTCCAACAGATGTTGCTTCATTTTACTCTCTTTTTCTGTGAGCTCCCTCATCTTCATGTTAACCTGAAACAGAGACAATGCTGTTGGCCAGTGCCGTATAATAACTTAACATCTATATTTGGTTCTTACCTTGTTGATCCAAAAAACCATTGCTTCTTCCAGGGTGTAAGGAAGCTCCTTGGAGGCGCTGATATTTGAAAAGCGCTTCACGCTAGACACCACCATCTCAATGCTGATCATCTCTGCAGCGTAGGCCACCATCAGAGCATCAATGAGCTGGATGTGAGAGCTCTGGGGAAACAGAGTTTGGAATTAGCTTTTTTGTGTAAAAAAAAAAAATGAAGTAACTGTATCGATCATGTTCAGTCTCTATAATACTCCAGCAGCCACACGTAAGTATTGTCTGAGAACTATTATGCCAAACAAAAGCATGAGTTTAGTGATGCTTCTATTTGTCATTTACTGAGTAACCAAGACTAATCAGCAGCTTCCAAGCCAGGCTGGATCTTGTAATGTTTTGCACTTGTGTTATGCATCTAATATCTCAATGGAGTGGACTCATATTAAATAAAAAATGTTGCACACTTTGTATCATAAATATTTCTGCTGCAGACTCTAAAACCTGCAGAGCTGTAATGTAACTAATGCATTATTTATTTCAAGACTTTTAGCTCCTATTTGACTCAGGAAAACAAACTCAAATGAGCTAAAAAGTAGCTCTAAATCTTGACTTGCTATTTCTTAATAATAAAACTATTAACGCAGGATCTTGAACATATATTTATGCTATTAGAGTAACTGAACAAGCTACATCCCATAATAATCCATGTTGGCTTCGTATTTTCATTATTTGATTTAACTTCTCTGAACCACCTTATGAATTGTTGAGGGCCTGCATAGCGCCCAGGGTTCTACAACCCCTCAAGGCACATTACAACACACACACACACACACACACACACACACACACACACCTGCTGGTAAAGATGAATTACAATGTAGCCACATTTGCCTTGGAGCACACAGATAGAAGCGAGGCTGCCAGCTACTGGGACCACAGGTCCCTCCGTCCTCTACCGGCAGCAAAGGTGGGTTAAGTGTCTAGCACAAGGACACAATAACTCTGACAGACAGAGTGAGTCTCAAACCTGCAACCTTCCAGTTATGGGGCGGGCTCCTAACTCGTCTGCCACTGCCTTAACCATCTTATGGCAACAACTTTGACACAAATCAGCATACCTCATTAGCTAAATAAGACCGGACCAGTTCAGAAAATAAATTTGACAAACTTTAGGTAAACAGATTAACATTTCTGACTTAATAAAATAGTTAAAAGCTAGTTTCAAACTAGCCAGAACGAACTACCAACCATTTTGATGGGAGATGAGCTGAGATCCAGAACAGACACAGGCATGTTATCGGTCTCCAGAACATGGATGCCTTTTCTGGACAGGGCTTGGATGACAGACTGGTGGCTTTGGAGGGAGGCTGCCTGCTCAGCATGAAGGATGAGCCCACATACATGGCAGTAGAGCTCTCCGGACAGCAGCAGGTGGATGATGGGGGGCTTGATGTGTTCCTGCTCGTACTGGTCTGTATAGAAGGGGTCACGCAGATCTGCAGGGATGTCATCTGAAAAAAAGGCAGAAAATAAAGGACAATTATGTGTGGTTGGATTGTTTTTAACCTAAAGGTGCAGTTTTTGTCATTAGGAAAAGCCAATCATGCAAGCTAGATTTAGAGAGAAAACAATTCAAAGGGGCCCCTGTCTATAGGCTCTCCCTTCGTCACAGAATCTGATGCTTGCAGAAAATTTTATAACAGCCTTGCACAAGCAGACAGACAGCTCTGCTGAACTTCTAAGGTCACAATTTCCAGAACCAACTCCAAACCAAACCAAATCAAACCTCCTGCTAGCATAGTTAGCGTGCAGTGTTTTTATGGTGAAAAACTGTTTTTGGCTTTCTTGGTTTAAATGTTAAGAGCTCAGTGCAATCGACAATCTGGGAAATCCCCACCACTAACCAAACCTTCACAACATGAGTCAAACTTCGTCCTTCCGGCTGCTCACTGCAACGCGTCATTTTTCCAGGATTGCACTTTTCTGAGGCCATTAACTTTGTTCTTTTTTAATTTTTTTTTACCAAAAACATTTTATTTATGTTGCCATCAGTATGTGAACAGCATTTCAAGCAATGTGGAAAAACATCTACCCTTAATTGGAGATGTGGGATCATCATGTGAGTTTTAAACAAAATTGTGTTAATGTAACACTTCTGGAGTCGTTACAGTATACTAGGACCAGTTTGGTTCTACTACTAAGCAGTAATGAAGGTGACTAGTCATTAAAAAAAAACAAAGACCAGAAAAATAAGTTTAAATCACCGGCTTATTATTTTTAGAACAGAAAATACAGTTGACATACGATTCACAATGCACATAAAACATTTAACACCAAGGAAATAAGATATTTTTATTTCCCCCTTTTTGTCCAGTAGTTCCCGTTTATCCCATTTGTCTCAAAACCTTTTATTTGGCTTTAAAAGGATGCTTTTTTCAACCTAGGTTATTGTTTTTATTAATTTCAAGTTCTAAGTTCAAGTTTGTCCTTTAACCTATTTAAGTTAACACTGTTATTTTAAATCTAGTTTAATTCTTTAATTCCAAGATTTAATTTAATTTTGGTTTAGTTCACTTTTAAATTTCAATCATTTCCTATTTGGTTTCACCCAACAAAATTATTTACATTTTCATTAATACCATTACAGCATTAAAATGTGTGGTTGACCAAAATAAAAAAACAGCATAAAATGTAAAAACTTAAAACAATTCAGCAAAAGGCTGAACAAACCCTTTAAAGAAAAAAATGTTGTATTTCTCCTTTAGCCATAAATCCCAGAATTATTCTGAATGGTTATCCCGTGCTTCGTGAGTCCAGCATTCTTCTGCAGAGGTGTATGGATAAATCCTACCAAATTCCAGTGAAAGAACGCAACGTCCAGCAGGCTGAGTTTTTCTCCTTCTGCAAGGCACAGTTCAAGGGGTCCGGGGGTGTGTTCACATGCTACAACTTTTGGAAAAACTTTAGCAGATTTATTATCGGACAGCTCTGCAAGGACTTCATTTTAAAATGGGAAAATGTTGTATTTTGGTTTTTTCGCAAGCACAGAAAGGAAGATGTATATTTTGTTATAAATTTGATAATTATTCTAGCTAAATTCTATCTCCACAAATGCAAGTATAGTAACCAAAAACCTAATTTCAAGCACTATTATAGTGACACTCTATCTTACATAAAATTGATTAGTGGATCACTAAACAAAAAAGCTTTAAAAACTATAACTATTTGCACCACCTATAATTTATTTGGATGTGTGTAACATTTCTGTAGTGCAACCCCTGGCATATGTTTCATCTTCTTTGTTCAATTTTGTATGCAATTTGTTTGTATACTTATCACCTTGTTCAATAAAGTATAGAGTAGGGCTGGGCGATATGACGATTTTAGACCGTTTTACGATCTACACATCTGACGGTCTGTCATTTTTGAGAGACCGTTTTATCACGATTCACAGCTCTGCTGTTGAATTTCTGCCTCTGAATGAAAAGGGAACTTACCTCAGGCGAATGACACGACTTTGTTTGACCCTTAACCAATCAGAGTGAGTCATAGTAATATATTAGTGCCCGCTTGTTTTCACCTTCACCTGTGTGTGAACAAACATGGCTTCGCCGCGGCTGAGCGACACGTTCCGAAGAGGAACGCAGGGTTTCCTTAGCGCGCGGCGCTAACAACTTAGCGACGTGACATGTCTCGGAGAAAGCGTAAAAACACGTTGGACGCTTCTTCTGAAGCAGGAAAATAACACCGCTTCTTAAGCAGAGCACGACGTCGCCTCGGCTCGTTCACCCTCTGCCGAGCCGGTGTCGGTACCGACTGAGCTCGGTCACTGGGTCGATGGAGCTGCCCCGTGACTGCCTGATGGAAAACCAGCGGGTTTCATCAGACTCGTAAAGTTTCTTGTTTTTGTTAGGGACCCCCTGTATTTTACCGCTCCCTCCTGCAGTCTTCCCCTATTAACATTTAAAATGATTCTGTAAATCCGTGTATCAATAGAAACAATCTCTGCCTCTGCCAGCTGCAGTAAATGTAGTCTCCAAATAATAAGAGGTGCATTCATCTGTGTATCTCCTTTGATCCGCATTAGTGATATTCTCAGCACCAGAACAGGGAAGCAAAGAAAGATTCCTGAGTTTGTTAGTAATTTTATTTATTAGGTGCATCTAACCTGTTCTATTTTTCTCTGAAATGAGATCAAATCAGTGCTTCTATGGGTTGTCTCCAATCTGCACTGGAAAATTTTACTTTATTTAGAGACTTGTTGCAGAAAATATTCAGAATGCGCAGTTATTTGCTACCACAAGCGATCTCTGGTCCAGCCGCACATCAGAGCCGTATTTGAGCTTAACTATCCACTACATGAGCAACTGGGAGCTACATAGTATTTTGAACAAGTTAATGTTTGCACAATACGTTTGCAATTGACATGTTTGCACTTTAAATATGTTTACGATTTTAATTTATGTTAAGTTACTTGAAAAACGAGAAAAACTGATTTTTGTAATTGTTTCTCTCAAGGCTTTTATCATCTCTGGTGTGTGTTTAAAATATAAGTGTGTTAGCACTGTGCTGATTATCCCTAATATGAATAAATGTTTATTTATTCAATGTTTCTCTTCTTTAATACGCAATTGAAGTTATGCTATTCATGGATAAAAAAATCGTGATAAAATCGAAATCGTGATAAAATATTGGAAAAATCGTGATATTGTCAGGTTCGATGGGCTGAGCTGGAGTGGTTATGAGACCCAGGCGCGGAGAGAATGGTGGATGGAGACTGATATGTGGCAGCGTGGGAAGTTCTCTTCCCGTATGGTTCGTAGAGTTAGTGTCTTAGGTCTTAGAATGGCTTGGCGTCTATCGTTAGATGATGACTGAGTGCCGGCTCCGCTGTGACAGGTCCTTAAATAGGCTCAGCGGGATGACGTCACCGGGAAGCGTCGGTGACAGGCATGCTGGGAACTGGAGTGCAGCGCCAGCCCGGCCTGCAGAGGAGGTTAAGAGGAGGAGTTCATGACAGGACCCCCCCCCCCCCCCCCCCCCCCCCCCCCCCGTGAGGGACGGCTCCAGAAGGCCCAGGGCGACGAGACCAGAAATCAGCCAACAGGGAAGGATCCAGAAACGAGCGGGCAGGCTCCCAGCTACGCTCCTCCGGACCGTAACCCTGCCAGTCCACCAAATACTGCCATCCACGGCCCCGGCGGCGGGCGTCCAGAATCTTGCGGACGGTGTAGACGGGGTCCCCATCGACATCTCGGGGTGTCGGCACCCGGGCCGGAGGCGGATGGAGAGGAGAAGACACCACCGGCTTGAGCTGTGAGACGTGGAATACCGGGTGCACCTTAAGAGTGGAAGGGAGGCGCAGCCGGTAAGCGACCGGACCGAGGACATCTCGGACTGGGAAGGGCCCCAAAAAGCGAGGCGACAGCTTCCTGGAACCAGCCGGAAACCGGAGGTTTGCGGTAGAGAGCCAAACCCGGTCACCAGGCTGGAACACAGGGCCGGGCCGGTGGCGGCGGCGGTGTTGTCGGGAGTACTCCGTATTAGCCCGGGTGATGGCGGCGCGAGCCCTGATCCAAGCGAGACGGCAGCGGCGGACCATTTCCTGAGCCGCCGGAACCTCCACCTCCGGCACCTGATGGTCGAAAAGAGGGGGCTGGTATCCGTAGCAGGTCTCGAAGGGCGATAGACCCGTGGCGGAGGACGTCTGGAGGTTGTGAGAGAGCTCCGCCCATAGGAGGTAACGAGGCCAGGTGGACGGTTGAGACGAGGCGAAGCAGCGTAAGTAACGCCCAAGCTGCTGGTTTGCTCTCTCCGTCTGACCATTAGTCTGGGGATGATAGCCTGACGACAGACTGGCGGAAGCGCCCACCAACCGACAGAAAGCCTTCCAGAAACGTGAGATGAACTGAGGCCCTCTGTCAGACACCACGTCCTGGGGGAATCCGTGGAGCCTCACCACATGATCGAGGAGGAGCTCCGCCGTTTTCTTAGCCGTGGGGAGCCCTGCCATAGCCACTAAGTGCACAGCCTTCGAAAAGCGATCGGTGATGGTGAGGATGGTGTCCAGGTGGTCGGCAGCGAGAAGCCCCGTGACAAAGTCCACACCTATGTGCGACCACGGCCTTCTAGGCACAGGGAGCGGTTGCAATTCCCCGGCTCCAGGTTGGGTGGTGGACTTAGACCGGGCGCAAGTGTCACATGCAGCGGTGTATTCACGCACGTCCTTTCTCATAGAGGGCCACCACAGGGCCCGGCGGAGGAACTGGAAGGTACGAGCCTGGCCTTGGTGTCCCGCGAGCCGTGAACTATGCCCCCACCTCAAGGCCTCCTGTCGACACACGGCCGGAACGTAAAGGCGGTTAGGAGGCGTCTCTGGGGGAGCCGGGTCCGCCGGGAGAGCCGCCCGGATGGAGGCTTCCAGGGGCCATTGCAGGGCGGCCAAGAACCGTTCGGTCGGGAGGATGGACCTCGGTTCAGGAGGCCTTGGATCCTGGGTGTGTTGACGGGACAGGGCGTCCGCCTTGAGGTTCTTTGAGCCGGGGCGGTAGGCGATGTGAAAGTTATAAGGTTTGAAAAAGAGGGCCCACCGGGCCTGACGAGGGTTGAGTTGGCGAGCGGTCTGAATATGGATGAGGTTCTGATGATCAGTCCAGATTAGAAAAGGAGTGGGGGTACCCAGGAGCCACTGTCGCCACTCCTCCAGGGCCCACTTTATCGCCAACAATTCCCGGTCCCCGACCCCATAGTTCTGCTGGGTAGGAGAGAACTTCCGGGAAAAGAATGCGCAGGGATGGAGTTTGGAGTCCTGGCCACGTTGTGACAGTACGGCTCCCGCGCCCGTCTCAGAGGCGTCCACCTCCACAACGAAAGGCCGTGTTAGGTCCGGGTGGAGGAGGATGGGCTCGCTTACAAAGCAGCGGACCAGCTCATGGAAGGCAGCAACGGCCTCCGGGGAGAGGCGGAAAGGGCGAGGCTGATTGGTTGTTTTCGTCAGGGAAGTTAATGGTGACGCCAGGGTGCTGAAGTTGCGGATAAACCGGCGGTAGAAGTTGCAGAACCCCAGGAAACTCTGCAACTGCTTCAGGGTCTTGGGTAGTGGCCACTGCGCGACCGCCTGAACCTTCTGTGGGTCCATGCGCAGGCCCTGGGAGGAGATGATGAAGCCCAGAAACGAGGTGGACTCCTGGTGAAAAGCACACTTCTCCAGTTTACAGAATAAGTCGTGCTCCAGGAGGCGTGACAGAACGGCTCGAACATGCTGGGTGTGTTCCTCGGCCGTGCGGGAGTAGATGAGGATGTCGTCCAAATAAACAAAAACCCAACGACCCAGCATGTCACGGAGGACATCAGTGATGAAACGCTGGAAAACGGCAGGGCTGTTGCAGAGGCCGAAGGGCATGACCAGGTACTCATAATGTCCAGTGGGTGTAATGAAAGCGGTTTTCCACTCCTCTCCTTCCTTTGTGCGGATGAGGTTGTATGCACTGCGGAGGTCCAGCTTGGTAAACAGTGTGGCTTGGGCAGTGGCGTCCAGAGCCGTGCTCATTAAGGGAAGAGGATGGCGGTCCCTGATGGTGATTTTATTCAACCCACGATAGTCTATACAGGGCCGGAGGTCACCTTCCTTCTTCTTCACAAAGAAGAACCCTGCCGCCCCAGGAGACGTGGAATGTCGGATAAACCCCTTCTGGAGAGCCTCATTGATGTAAGCGTCCATCGCCTGGGTCTCTGCCGGGGAGAGCGAGAACAGCCGACCCCGAGGCGGGGTGGTTCCGGGCTGAAGCCTGATCTCCAGATCGTAGGGGCGATGAGGAGGCAGCTTGGTGGTAGGCTCCTTTGCAAAGACCCGAGCCAGATCGTGGTATTGGGGTGGAAGGAGTGTTAAATCCACGTCCTTGGGTGGTGTCTCCCTAGGCTGTGATCCTGGAAGGAGTGTTAAATCCACATCCTTGGGTGGTGTCTCCCTAGGCTGTGATCCTGGAGACGGATGATGAAGGCGACAGTTAACACCCCATGCCATGACTTTACTGGTGGACCAGGAGATGTGAGGGTCGTGGAGGCGGAACCAGGAATGACCCAGAATGAGAGGAGTCGTAGGGGCGTGAATGACCAAGAAATGAAGGGTCTCTACGTGTTCTCCGATAGTCATCCGGAGGTTCTGGGTTCGGTGCGTGATCGGATATGGCATGAGAGGGCGCCCGTCCACTGAGGTGACGGGAACGGGATGATCGAGGAGGGTGAGTGGAATCTTGAGCCGGTTGACCAACCCCTGGTCGATAAAGCTTTCTGCAGCTCCGGTGTCGAGGAGGGCCACCAGGGGGACCGGTCCTTGGCTCAGCTGGAAGGAGACCGAGAGGGTGGTGTGATGAGGAGCTGCATGAGTGGAAACTTCGAGTGAGGCAGCTCCTACACCGACCCGGAGGGACCGTTTCCCGAGCGTATGGGGCATGTTGCACGGGGATGACCCAGAGCCCCACAATAGGCGCATCGTCCCTCCTGAAAACGGCGCGCCCGTTCCTCGGGGGGCAAATGACCCAGTTGCATGGGTTCCTCCATGGGTTGGTTCTCCTGACGGCGGGGGAAAGTTCGGGATTGTACGGGAACCGCCCTCACTCCTGGTCTGGTGAGGAGGCAGCGGTCCAGCTGGAGAGCCAGGTCCACCGCCTGGTCCAGGGTGGTTGGAGCCTCGTGACCAATCATGCCCTCACGGATGCGGGGTGACAATCCCTCCAAGTACACAGCCTTCACTGCGGCATCACCCCAGGTTAGACGGGCAGCGGTGGTCCGGAAGCGTGAGGTGAATTCGGCCACGGTCTGAGAGCCTTGTCGAAGCTGGAGCAGGCGTGTCTCATCTGCGACCTCGCTGCTGGGATGAACGAATGCCTTCTTCAGTTCTTTCACGAAGGCTTCATAGTCGTTGCAGACTGGGGACTTCTGATGGTACAGAGCAGCCGCCCATTCACCGGCTCGCCCAGTCAGCAGGGAGGTTAACAGAGCCACGCGAGAGCAGGAAGTCGGGTAGCGTGCCGGCTGACACTCAAAAGTCATTGACAGAACGGCCAACATGCTCTCCGGGGATCCTTTAATCCCATCCCATTTCTCTGGGAGACTTAGATACGGCTCCACCACGTTAGGAGTGGCAGATGACTGTCATTGGAGGGCTGAGGAGAGTTGGACTACCAGTTCGGTGACGGAATCGAGTTTGGATGCGAGGCGATCAGTAACAGCACGCAGCTGATTGTTCTCCACACGGAGTTGGGCGTTGTCCGCCTCCTGGCGTTCTACTCGGCTGAGCAGCTGCGCTACCTCAGCTCGCAGCTGTGCGATCTCCGCTGGGTCTACTCGAGACTCAGTCATCCTGTCAGGTTCGATGGGCTGAGCTGGAGTGGTTATGAGACCCAGGCGCGGAGAGAATGGTGGATGGAGACTGATATGTGGCAGCGTGGGAAGTTCTCTTCCCGTATGGTTCGTAGAGTTAGTGTCTTAGGTCTTAGAATGGCTTGGCGTCTATCGTTAGATGATGACTGAGTGCCGGCTCCGCTGTGACAGGTCCTTAAATAGGCTCAGCGGGATGACGTCACCGGGAAGCGTCGGTGACAGGCATGCTGGGAACTGGAGTGCAGCGCCAGCCCGGCCCGCAGAGGAGGTTAAGAGGAGGAGTTCATGACAGATATTCTATTTTTGCCATATCGCCCAGCCCTAGCTCCGGACCCCACGTGACTCTCAGTTAGTGGACGCCATTTTGGCATGCAAAAAAGGTAAACAAACACGGATGTAACCATGAACATGAACGGGATCCACTTGGATTTTACTTCGTTGGAGTTTACTTCACATTTTAAAACGGAAGAAATCGTTTTATATAGTCAGAAATTAAATAGACTAAACATCTCTGACCCTTACCGTGCCCCTGGGATACTTTTTAAAAACGCCAGAAGCTGTCGGAGCGGACTTCTTACCGGCACAACACCGGACCTGGCCGGGGAAACCCCTTGGGATTCCCCCAGCCGGAGGGGCTGGGGAGAAGGTCTGGGCTGTCGGAGCGGACTTCTTACCGGCACAACACCGGATCTGACCGGGGAACCCCTTGGGTATTTACCCGGAGGAGCTGGCTCCGGCGGCTGGGGAGAGGGAAGTCACGCTACTGCCCCCGCAACCCGACTCTGGATACGCGGATGAAAATGGATGGATGGATGGACAAATAACAGATTTACACGTAAGTAGTCTCGGTGAGACAGATAATAGCAATCCAAAGTGCTTTTTATGTGTGATCTGACAATTGATCAACCATTGCTTAAAAATTAAATACAGCTTAGCCGGTTAATTGCTGTCATCATAAAACACGTAAACGGCAGCACGCAGAACTCACGAGGCAACGTTTTACGTGATGTTTACTTGCTGCTATGAGTAATAAGACAGAAAAAGCCACGCCAAAATAAGTTTAGGAAGCCCACTAAGAATCATAATAAAAGCATTTAAAATAAATACCACACACAGTTGAGGAAACGTTGGTTTAAGTACCTGATATGAAGTGGTCGCTGCATAAGCGAAAACCTTTACTCTCGGGATCCCACAGCTTCATTTTCGCCCGGTCACTAGTGCGTTTTATTACAATGATCCAACGTTTGCGGCGCTCCGGATCTTGGGAAATCCTGTAGATGGCTCATTCCTTATGTCGTCCGCGTCTGTTCTGCATCCTGGGGCACAACAGGAATCTACCATATTTCCCGTTTGATTGAGTTTTCTGACAATAACAAATAGTCCAGCTGCCGGCTTCTGCCTGCCAATATGGCGCCGTTTCAATTTGAACTGTTTCATGCCGGGAGAAGTGACGTCAACTCCCGGAGCTCTATAGGGGAGGGAAAAAAAAGGGGGGGGGGGTCCCGCGGGTGGCTCACCATCTTGTTTCCCGCTTAGGAAATCCAACTCTGGTTCTAGCTCAGCATTTCCCGGTTCAAACCTTAATGGCCTATCATAACGATAGAATATGCATAAACATTTAAAAATAACACACAGATAGCCCTTAGGTATCAGTAAAAGTCTGTTTTTTTAGCTCATTTAGTCCTCAAGGAGGTGGCGCCAACATGGCGCACTGAAAAAAACGTTAAAGGCCTATGAACTACCGCCTGTGTGTCGAGTAAGCACAAATTCAATGTTGAAATCAACCATTTAAACATTAAACAACATAAATCTGCTACCTTGGCTTTCCATTTACATGAAATTAGCAATATAATACAACAAAACATTTCTTTTATCAAATAAAATACAGTTACTGAACTCACCAATAGGGCTGTTGCGGTAACCGCAAAAATGAAATATGCAATATGAAGAAACCCACCGCGCTGCATCATGGGCCACCGCGATTACTGAACTTGGTTCAACTCAATGATGCATGTTGAGAAGGATGGCTGCACTGGTATCAAAACGAAACGTTACTTCGCTCCTATGGGAGCACTTTGGTTTTCAGTATGTCAGCTGCTGCGCAGCCAGAGTCCTTGGCCGAGACAGAGCTGCCACCAGCGGCAAAAAAATAATAATAAACGCTCGGAGACCTGCTGAAGTCCCGGACAAGCACTGCTTCTGCAACCGTCCCGAAGAGAGTTTGAGCCGAGCTGGAGCTCACTCGCTACCTGCAGGAGGAATGCATCCACCCTAAAGAACCCCCCTGACATGGTGGAGCAACAACCGGGAAAGATTCCCTTTGCTCGCCAGAGTCGCACGCAGGTACGTGTGCGTTAGTGCAACGAGCGCACCATCCAAGAGGGTTTTCAGTGTTGCTGGAAATGTTGCCACCCCTCTCAGATCCTCTCTCAAACCGTATCTGGTTAACATGCAGGTTTTCCTTGTGGGTAACAAGGACGTGACCGAGCTATAAATCACCGTCATTCGTGTGTGTGAAAGTGAAATGATAGTGCGTCCGCCCCCCGGCGCGCGCGCGCCCGGTACATGTAATTTTTTATGCTTGATTTTAAACAACTAAACAAAACGGGGACTTGTTTCTTATTTGTTAGACGCTGCAGCCAAATTTGCATTTAAAAGTTTAACCTTCTCCTGAATTTTGTTGTTTTTAAGTTCAGTCGGACTCCGACTGTCGGAGAAACAAACGTTACTGCGATCTGTGTTGTTACTGCCCTTTGATCTGCATTCAGTAAAGTGTTGTAAAAGAAGGCACGGCAATTTTTATCCTTTTTTAAATGTGTAAACATTATGTTTAGATAGTACTGCAATAAAAAAAAGTGCTGCAATAATATCGCACACCGCAATATTAAGCCACCCTGAATCACCGCAGGGGGAATTCCTCAACCGCGACAGCCCTACTCACCAAGTCCCATTCAGTTATGTTAACACCACCACCAAGGCACAGCAGGTCAGGAAACAGAAATACCTTCTCCAGAGTCTCAAAATGGCTTTATGTGGACTCTAGGTTGGTATTTAATATATTTTTTGTCTTATTTACGCAGCAGCAC